GTTGCACATAACCCAGTACTGGCTTAGTAATCTAGCTGTACAAAACATTATATATCGCTATTCTAGCATCTAGAGATTTGTCCTGTGAGGTTTGATGAATCGTGAGGTTCGTAACATGCGTCCGGGTCTTGTCTTTATCGTTTCTTGTTCTTTCTTCGTTTGTTCTATAATAAATTCTTTCCTTATTTCATTCTGTAAAACAAACAACACCTTCTCGACAAAATGAGAATAATATATCTCTTCTCTCGCTTTTCTAGTTTCCTTTTATATTCACTTGCAATAAACTTCCTTATTAACTTATTTCATCTTGTCAAAACGGCAAAACGAATCATCCTCGATTCCATCTCTGTCACCTGTCTCGCCTCTTATTGCAATTAAGTACATTAAAAAATACCGCGCTACTTCGCTCAGAATTAACCGGACCAAGCTATACATTTATATAGTGTGTGTTCGGTGAAGCCAAGTATTTATTTTTTATTGATTTTTTTTTTGCCTTTATTTTTCTTCAGCGTATCTCGTCTCTCTCTCTCTCGCTTTCTCTCCCTCACGCTCTCTTTCTCTCTATTCATTCTCTCTGTTACGCTTCTCCGTAGTTCGTCGTCGTCGTCGCGATTTGCGCGTGGAAAAATTCTGTTTTGTTTTTTAAGCGTTTCTAACGTGCTGTGCGCGTCTTACGAACGATCGCGACGAGAATCTACCTTAAACATCTATATATTTGTTTTTGTTTTTTTTTTTAGTTTTGTTTTGTCGCTCGTACTCTCCTCTTTCTCGTCTCGCCACCTCTTTTTCTCTCTCGACTTCAGCCGAGCTTTTTTGTTTGTTTTCTTTTTTTTTTTTTTATTATTATTCATTTGTCAGTCGTCATTCTGGTCGCGTTTCCCAAAGCGATCGCGTGAACTGTACACATACAACGTAACACATACAGAGAACGCGTCGCGGTCCGCAATTCCATCAAGGAGAAACCGCAACGCGAGTCCTTTCGTAAAACACACGGCTCCTCGACCTATATCACAGCTTCGTCTGAGCCGTCGGTCGAGTCGTCGTAACATACGCGTTAAAATCGATCTCCACAGACGAATACACGACGGTCCGTCCATTCGCAAACTTCGTCTCATCGTCCTTTTTCCTCGTTTTATAGCGTGTACAACGAAAAAGGCGTAGCGTGTTTAAATGTATCTAACTCACGAAGCAACCCACGTGTCGGTTCTAAAGGAGAGCAGGATACACGCTTTGTATTTACTTTTTTTTTTTTTTATTACACGCCGTGTATTCGTCGTATCCTGACGTACTAACGGAGACGAGTACGCGACGACGGTCAACACACTCGTTCAACAAACCCGTTCGCCACGTGGAAACCATGAAAAATATCGTGGTACAACGAAACACTTCTGGTATTAACACTACAACACGAATCCCTCTCGTCTCACGTCGAAGGGGGATCATTAAAACGCCATTTAATATATTCAGCGCGTGTCAGATCTCTCTCTCTCTCTCTCTCTCTCGTCCAAAACGTATCTATATTAACGGCGTGGAATACACGCCGGTCATCGATTGTTTTCACTCTATATATCTTCTCACTCTATCAACAATAAAAACCCTTCGTTATTACAGCGTGGACACGCTCTGAACGGTAGTCAACGAGAGTTCACTCTCAAACGAAGACTCTGAACACGCCTCGAAACATACTCGTTTTACAATATCTAATCCTCTCGATAGAACTAATCTCCCTCTCGCTGCTGCTCTCTACTCTGGGTAAATCCTCCACTCAGGCTGTCTGCGTTTACTCGATGCGAAGTCTTTTTATTATTATTATTATTATTATTATTATTTTCGAAGAGCTTGGTGCGCGGCTAACGCCTTAACTGGGACATTGTGCTACTCGATTGGGGGGTGGGTGTATGTTGTGGTGTGTGTTCAGGGGGGAGGATGGAGCGGAGAGTGGGTTCGGGGATGGGCTGAGGATGGGGAACGGGGAAGGCATTAGAGTGGTTACTCGATTATTTTATTAAGAGTAATTAAGCTTGACGCCTCGGAGGTAGGGTCCAAGCATTCGGACCGGGCTGAGCGTGGGGGGCAGGACGTCACAGTTGCTGGTCCCTGCATGGTACCCAAATGTTCGGGCCTGACTGCTCGGAGATCACCTCCTTCACCTTCGCGTAGATCTCCTCGGGCGTGTCGCCTTGCACCACGGCTGAGGAAAAGCGAAAAAATAATTCAATCTTTTGTCCTAACAATTGTTCTTAATTGTGTGCTTATGGTAATGAAGTGGTACTTTTAAATCTGGATACTTTATTTGCGGTAGTTACCGGTATTCGAACAATGAAAAATAGAATTTCGAGGCTTTCGTAGCTGTAATTGTTTTTTTTTTCTTTATTTCCAACGTTTTATCGGAGTTCGGAAAATGCACATCGGTGTGTTTAGGCTAGCTGCAATGCTAGTGAAACGTTGGAAACCAAACGCAATTGGACACGGATTAAGAAGTGAAATAAAAGAATAGAGATTATCGAAAACCACTCACCAGTAAAGTATTCACCGAACTCCTGCTCCATTTTCAGTGCTCGATCGTACGTCTTTTTCGCTTGTTCCTCGGTCATCCTCTTGTTCATTTCCCTGCGAATCAAAACGAACGATCTCTCGTTAAATCGTCCTCGGAAGGATCGGAGTGATCTCGTTGAAAGAATTGCCACTTACATAACCGACTCTACGGATTTCGGTTTAATGAAGATGGCGATGGGATAAAGCTGCGCCACTTGCAACCTCTTGATCGCGTTTCCGCTCACGTCGAGAATACAGTGTTTTCCCTGGATCGATAGATCGTTTTTATTAATTTCCAATATATGGACATCGTTACGAATTACGTCGATTTTTCCTTGTTGTTCTTTCTTACTTTCTCTGCGACTTCCCGTACAGACGCCACGGACGTTCCATAAAGATTGTCATTGTACTGTCCAGCTTCGATGAACAAGTGGTTCTGAATGTCCCTCTCCATCTGTTCCCTGGATGCCACGAAGTGGTAATCTCGGCCGTCCACCTCGTACTCTCTTCTACTCCTCGTTGTGTCTGTGGAAATTAGGAATGCCCTCGTTGAACGTTCTTACCAAACTATTACGATAAATTGTCAACCGTTTAATCGTGAGAGGCATACATTAACAGCCAAAAGTTTGGGACTCTACAAAAGTCCTTGTAGATTTGAAACTGATATTGCGGGGATCAGTGGTAATTTATTTTACTTCTAAAAATTTTTTAAATTGTAAACTTAAATTAAATTAAGAAAGTTAATCTCGCACAGCAAGCGAAATTCTATTGATCTATCGAAATATGCCGCAGTGAAAGGGTTAATCAACATATCCCCTAAGTCTAGGCTAGAAAATATCTTGAAACAATTTGTACAGAAGTAAAGCAGGACTCGTGAAACTTTGCTGTTGAACGAGAAATCCTCCGCAAACGTAACAAGAAAACAAGTAGCTCGGTTGTCCGCGAAACCCCGGGGAAAATCTGTTCGCGAACGGTCCGCATGAAACGCGTGACCCAAATCTCGCACGAGCCCAGATTAAAGTCTGACGATACTCACGTGGCACACAGCTGCCGAATTTGTCGGGGAACTCCGAGATGAGGTCGTCGTTGATGCGGTCCTTGAGAGGGCCGAGGATAATGACGGGTCGTGTGTATTGTATGTTGATCTGCTGGACTGCCTCGTACGACAACACGTTTTCTTCGCTGCCTGCAATTTTCAGCATAAGTACACTCGTGTTTTTCGCGCGGCTGCGCCGAGCTTTTGTGGTGTGAAAAAAAAAAAAAAAAGAAACAAAAAGCTTCTTTGTTAACGTCGGGTTAGAATTTTTGCACTCTTTCAAAACAGCTAATAAAGGGGGAATAATCAAACGACGTTACTAAACTCGAATAATTCTGTTTCTATAGAATTCGAGATTTTTCTTTCTAGATTTTACGAGAGATTGTTTTTTCATCGGTGAGAAAAAAAAAATCAAATTTTTACATTTCGTCGATTGTATACAATCTGTTTGCGGTTAAGAAATATACAGTAATTATTATTGTCCACCTCGAATGAGAAATGATCCATGCTTTAGCACCTAGGAGATCGAAGCGAGGAATGGGAGATATAAACAGGGGTTGGTAAAGCTCCCTAATATCTAGAAACTCAGGCGATCGAAGGGTATCAAGTTCGACGTGGCATTAGTTGTGTGGCGACTATGCTAATACACTCGTAGGCGAAAGGGTTCGTAATGTTTTAATCGATACTCGGACGCTAGGTGGTTGTAACGATTTTTAGTACCCACCAGCGTCGCTTCTTACGTTCAACAACACGTTTCTTGCTGTATTCCACTCGAAAATAGCATCTTCAATATTAGAAAGTCAAAATTTGTCGCAATTCGAATTCGAAATTGTAAGAAGCGACGAGGTTTCTCGTGATCTACGCAGCATGAATCGCAGCTCTCGTTAGAACTCTACATGAGGGTGATTAGTATCGTCAACGAAACCAAAAAAAAAAAAAAGGAAAAAACGACAGACACAGACAGACAAAGCGTGTCGCGACTGTCCCAATTGCGCGAAGCGTTCAACGGCGTTTCATTTGTTGGCAGTGCTCGTAGATGTATTAAGGGTTGGAATTGGAGAAAATTAAGAAAAACAAAAATCAAACCAAAGGAAAAAAAAGAAATTAAAATTAAACGAAAAAACAAAGGGAGGTAGTATCGATCGAAACTACGTTTCGACGTCGTGTTAGTGAAGGACCTAAAAGAAAACAAGAAAAACTTGGTATCTGCTGTTCACTCCTGTATTTTGTTCACACACTCTAGACTGTTTTGTTGTTCGTGTAATATATCACTTACTAAACTCGTTAATATTCTCATCGTCCTCCTTTTCCAGATAAACTAACGTCAGTTCCTCCATATAAGGCAGTTCGACACGATATAAAATTTCTCTACTCCCTGCGACGCAAGACAGATCTTTTTGTGAATGGAACAGATAGAGAAGAAGAAGAAGAGCTTGCGCGGTGAAAATGATGTATATATTTATATATATATATATATAGATATAGAGTGGAGACGAGAGAATGAAAGGCTTTCCCGTTCCTGTCCAACGGGAACGTAAAACCGCGAGACCGACGTGAAATCGTTTCATGACCGATGATATTAGTTCTCGAAGGAGACGCGCCGCGCGTGAAATTTCAACGAAAGCTGGAGGACGTTTTATTCTGTCTCGTATCGTTTCGTTATTTTCACCTTCTTCACGCGTTATTCGCCGATCAACCAAGGTTTCACCCTTAACACACATAACAATTCATTTCATATCTCCGGAAAACCCACTGCCGAAAGACATTCTCCACATTTGCACACTCACGAAGTCCTCTCGCTCGTTTAAATTCCTCCCTCAAAAAATCATAAACAAAGAAAGAAATTAAAAAAAAAAAAAGGCAGTTACTCGAAATGAAAGGAAAAGTGTCTGGTTTTAGTTGTAACAGGTAACTCTCTAATCGAATTGGTCCGATCATTCTCGGTTCAGTGTCCCTTCCTCGAAGTAGCCTTGCAGGCTCGTTAATCGACGAAGCAGCGAGAGGCAGCGCGCTGCATTCAAAAGTGACACAACGCGCCGCGACAAAAGGACGTTGTCGAACAATGCGTTCGTCCCGCGGTTGGATCGTTATATCGCAGTAATGAACGTGTGCTTTGTTAATTGATGCGACCGAGATGAAACGACGAGGAACAAGGGTGTGGGGGGTAGGAACGCATAATGGGGACTGAAATGAAAGGCAGACAGAGAGAAAAAGGGGACAGAAAGAAGATACAAATATATATGTATAGGAATGGGTGAAACAGAGACAAAGAGAGAGAGAGAGAGAGAGAGACGTGATTACCTTCGGTGTTAGTGTCGTCCTGGGTGTAGCACAGCATGAATGCTAAAACATAACAAGTTCAATATTTCAGTATACGTTGCGTACTAATAAGCGGCCGTTAATAATTGCTAGGATTAATTAAGCTTTAAGCACGAACAATCATCTCTCCCTACCGTCGAGGCTAGCTCGAGCTTTCGAACAGCCCTGATTGGCCCATATCGTGATAATACTCTGCACGATCGCTCGTCTCTCTGCGGTAACAGTACCACACACACACACACACACACACACACGCGCGGAGTTTCGGTCGTTACGCGTTCCGTTCTCGTTCCGTTGATCAATCGCTGTGATTGAGACAACCACGATAATTCGTGTGTGTTCGATGCTAAGAACATTTATTTCGCGAACAATCTCTCTGTAGGTTTTCTTCCACGAGGAATCGAAGAAAGTTGCAGGATAATCGTGCTTCTACTTAGAAGTTCCGAGAGTAGTTAGAATTCTCCGAAGAAGTTCGGCATCTATTGGAAATCGACCTGCTGCTGGCCCCTCTCTTCTTCACTTAGAGATTTTAGCCGAGAGAACGTTCGAGAACGCGTAAACTGGCGGTGATTCCTCAAGTTTCTCGAGTTCTGATCCTCGTCTCCAAAGGGAGGGAGAGTGTGCGTTACGAATTTTCCACCAGTTCAATTTTCTTTCTTACGTACCGAAACTCTCTCGTAAGATTCACGCGGGAGAAAAGAAACCGTGAGAAAGGCGAACAAGTTTATCGTCGGAAAAATCGCCGATTTTTCAACGTTACATCGCCACACACACACACACACGCGTGCTGGAGTATCTCTACAAGCATATTCGAGGGAGGCGCTGAAACTCTACGACGATCCATCCCCGTTTTAACGTCAGTCAGTTAAGAAAGCGTGGTCGAGAGTGAAGTGTGGTGGCTTTTGCTCAATCACGGTGTTAGTGATAAAAAAAAAACGCAGGCAAACAACGCTATGAATTATGCTACTTGTACTCGGTGCAAGGGATGAAGTTGCAGCGTGCCAGGCGCAAGCATAGAAGAGAAAATGCACGAAAGAAGAGACCTCTCGAGAAGTGTAATTAAAAATCATAGAGGGTCGCTGATTTATGGTCCTTTTGATTTTCATCTCTTTTTCTTTTTTTTTTTTTATCTTTGTTTCTCGATCGAATTCGTATTTTCTTTTTTTTCTTCTTCTTACTCGACGACAGTATAGTGTAGCTGTAACGTGTCTATGGGTGTATGCGCGTGTTTGTACGTGTATCGGTGTGATTATTGTATCCTGTTTCTTCTTGTTGACTAACTTGAAATACTTACTTGTAGGATCGTTTTCGTTCTCGGGTGTCGTGGGCGACCCTACACAAGCAGGCAAAAACAAAACACATGTCACGTTTTCACATGGTAAAAAACACAAAAGCTCAATCGGAAGTTGGGCGTATTCGTCGTACCTGTCACGAATTACTAAGCTGAATCTTTAACTCGTCAACTGATCGCTAAACGAAGTTCGAGATAGAAAGAAATTTCCTCTCTGATACTTTTTCTCTTTTTCTTTTTTCACACAGAGTAGTATGTGTGCTCTAATTCGTCGTGTTGGCTTTCGATTAAAAAAACATCTA